ATAAGCCTGGTCCTATGAAGCTAGAGGAATTATAAATGAAAGTGTGACAGATTTGGTAGTGAAAACATGAATTACTAGTAAACTAGAATGAGGATAAGATTAAGTGTGGCTCTCTTAAATTTGGTGAAGAGACAAGCTAGAGTGAGTTTATTGTTGAACTTTGCTTGTTATAACTAGGTGTGGAAGGATTATATTTGTACCAGTAAACAATGATTTCACTGCATGCACACACACACACCCACCCACCCCTAACAATCACAACTTACAAATAAGGCAACATAAGAAAAATGCTGCTTGAGACCTCAGTTTGCGTTAAGGATGTTTACTCAAGGATATCCTAACAGTTGGTGTTCATGGTTATAAGGCTTTAACTTTTTGAATCTCATTGGCTACTGTCATTAAATAATTGTCTGACCTCCCATAATTTCCCTACAACTGCAAAAAGCATTTTTATCAATTTAAGATCGATCAATATTATCGGTCAAAAATCAAATAAAAATTAAGTTTGCCAAGCCTAATTACACCAGAGTGTCATGAAAGTCCCAGGCTGCTTCAGTGAGAAACGTCACTGTCCTCTAAGCAGATGTCAGTGCAATAGACTCCTGGAATGAGGAGATGGTAAGAGCTGAATTCCAAGGTTATCACCTGCCATTCACTTGACCCAGAAACAGGAAGTGCTATTGTCTTAGGGTGGGGTGGTAATAATGACCTTTCTGGCTCCATTTAGAAGTGGTAGGATTTTCTAGAGCAGCCCTCCTCCGTACACTTGTCAAACTTTCATTAGAATGATGTGACAATAAGGAGGATTACCTACTGGGGGACAGTCAGAAAGAACATCTTTAGAGCAGAACTGCACGTGAATTTCTTTTCAAAAGCAAAATATGCTTTGCTACGTTGGATTCTTCCATAGTACCTAAAAGGCAGCAGTCTACCGTGATCCAGCCCAGATCAGAGTTGCATGGGCTGTCTACTTTGGAGTTAGTAGCCTGCCTTTATCTTTTTGGGGAAGTGGGGTCGTGTGGCCTGGAAGGTCACCGGGCTTCTCTATGTACCAGCTTCAATGCTGTCCTGAGGCTGGGGATTGTGCCGGCTTGGCTCTGCGCGCTGGTTTTACCGCATGATGCTTGGAAGCGGCGAGTCAATGGAGGCTCACTCGGGGGTCCGAGTCCCCACGGCTGGGCCCAGAGCACGAGGACGATGCAGCCTCCTTCTCCAGCCCGGAGGGAAGGAGCCGGGGCGGAGGCTGCTCTAACCCCCCCTCCGCGCGGAGCCGGCCCCGGCCCCGATTGCATAAGCGGAACTAGCTGGCTCCAGCAGCCGATCGAGGCAGGCGGGTGGTTTCCGGCTCTGCCCGGCTTCTCTGCGCCTGGGGACCCCACAGGGGCTGGGGAGGGAGAGGCCCCAGCTCGCTCTGAGCCCCGCACACCGGGCCCGATGGGGCCCAGCCGCCCGCAGGGCCAAGGAGACGGTCTCCTTGGGCAGGACGAGGCCGGCCGGGGGGCAGCGCAGCCTCGCCCCAGGCACAGACCGGGTGGCGGGGGGGGGTCGTGCTGGCTGCAGCGGCCCGGCCCCCTCGCCCAAGCCGAGGCGGCCCCTGCGGCGGGATGCCCGGGCCCTCCCTCTCCTTGCAGCGACCTTGGGCGGCGGATCAGCGCGCCGGCATCTCCTTGGCTCGCGGATGCACCACGCGGCCACGTCCCAGCTCCAGACAAAGCCGCGGCGGCGTCCCGTCCACACACACCCCGGCCGCAGGATTTCCCCGAGCCCAGGGCACTCGGGGCCCGCCCGCCTGCACGGGCGCCGGGCACGAGCCCATTCACCCCCCGGGGCGAGCCCCCAGCGCCCCGCGCATGCCCGCCGCCCCGGGGCACGTCCCAGGGCCGCCCCCAAACCCACCTGCAGAAGCAGCTTCACTCTCTCGATGGGGGCGACGGCTGTTTTGGAGATGGCAGCGGCCACGCCCCCGGCCAGGAAATCCTTGGCGAAGGACAGGGCGGCATCGGCCATGGCGACGGGGGGGCAGGTTAATAAATTAGAACCAGGGAGCGAGAAGCAGCTGCTGGAGGGACCCGCGGGCTCTGAGGCCGAGCTGCTGAAATGGCCGGTTTATATACAACCCCCGGGCTCCAGCGAGCGGGGGTGAGGCTGGCGGAGCGACGCACGGCAGCTTCCCACCCCGCTGATTGGCTTGGAGCAGGAGGGCTGGGCCGGGGAGGGACCGGCTGGGAGTGGGGGGGCCTTGGGTGTCACCTCCCCCCACGTGACGCGGTGGGGCCTGCCAATGGCTATGTGGGTCGGAGGGGTCTCCAGCATCACGGGGCGTGGGGGGGGGCTTGGCAGGGCAAGGCTGGGCTCTGGGTTTCAGTGCGTGACGCCAAGCGAGAGACTGTTCCTAGGCAACCCCCGGGGAAGTACAGCTCTGCCAACGCTGGATCAGCCTCTGACACCATCACCATGGAAACAGGGTTGGGCCTGGGAGCACCCCCACAAAACCCAGCATCAGACCTGAGTCACTGATCACAGGCGCCTGGGGGGCAGAGAGATGGGTGGGCCCCGAGGTGCACATGTTGTGGCGGATGCTTCCCAGAATCATGGCCACCTCAGAGTTCTCCAGTTTTGGGGGGGGGAGGGCAGAGGTAGAACAGCCCACTTTAAATCTTAATCTCATCCAGGGACCTTCCAGTGAAGGTCTGTTCCCTGCATATTTTTTTCAGTGCCTTTGTCCAGTCCACTTTTTGTTACATCACACTCAAGCCATCAAACGTGGTACATGAATTTAATCTCCAGGGTTAAGAATTTCTACAAAATTGTAAAAAAAAAATCCCACCTCATAAACAGGAAATAATACAAAGATATGAATGAACAAGACTAGCAAATAATACCATCAGTTCTTCCCCTCACAGCTGATCAGGAGAAACTTTAAGGCTTCATTCCACACATATGCATTACGGGAATATATGAGGTGAGCTTTCATGTCTTTCATAAAACCGTAATTTCTTGACAGAAAGCTTAGGAAAACCGATTTTGCCCAGAGTCACAGAGGCTTAGGTTACAGTGCCAGTTTAACTATTCAGACAAGGGGTCCATGCCCAAAAGCCTGCCAGTGACTAGACAATAAAATAAGTATCAGCCTTAGGACTATAATTCAACTGAACAACTGATGGGGTGAAGAACAAAGATAATTGTGCCTGTGGGGTGTGAGTGTGTGATTCTAATATGCAGTTAGTGGAGTGAGCAGTCAGCATGGGGGAACTGAATGGTCATCAGCGGGGATGTTAATACAAGGGATCAAGATCTCAGTTTTAGATGTTCCCTAATATCTTTGTTAGTGTAGGGTGCTAAGCCTGGACCTCTATCCAAATTTCACCTCAGTTACATTCTGCCTACCTGTTTCCTCTCCACTTTCATTATATTCTTCACTTCTTATATGCTATTGGACACTCTTATACAGGTCTAGCATTCTATACAAACAGTGCTTCATTTCAGTGCTGTGTGAAATACTCCTGGCATAGTCTTTAGGGGTGGTGTATGGCTTAGTGTTTGGGGTCATACTTTATAAATGATTAACAAATATAACTATGTTACAATATAGATGGTTATAAGCACATCAGAAGGTGTTAAAGATGGTTACAAGTAACTGATTGACTTGCTAGACTATCAACTGATCATTTATGAAAACAATTCATCATTTATTAACCCTCTATATTTTGTTTATAAATGGAACATTAATAAAGGACAAGCCTATTGGTGACCTAAATAAGGATATTAAGAATCTGGTTGCTCCCCCTGTCATCTACAAGTGAATAATAACCTGTAGGTATTGCACAGTGTACAGCTTTGAGTTTTGCTGAAATTAATATAATTATTTATGAAAGTGTTTCCCTTCAGGTAGGAGGAATCAGATCAAGATTATTCTAGGAAAATGAAATTGGTAGAAAGTGCTAAGGTAGCAGAACCCATCAACAACAGTTAGGATGGAACAGTCCTAGGGCCTAGTCAAGTCTGCCAAGCAGGTCAACCAGCTTTTCATCAAAAATATGAGATAGACTAAGCTATCTCGGTTAACTTTGGGCAGCCTTTCTAGGCTCGGCTCTTCTTAACACAGTCTGACTGTCTACTCTGCTTCTTCTGATACATCTCTTTATTAGCAACTGCATGCATAAAAGTATCTATTAAAAATATTACCATTCTAAGCTAAGGGAATGCAGTGTGCTGGATTCATCAGTGGATTGGGAAGCAAGAAAGGACAAGTTCCAATCCCAGCTCTTCCAGTGTCTTGGTGTGCGGTCTTTAGTAAAGCCCTGAACCTTTCTGGATCAAATTCAGCTCTGGTATAATTGGAAGCAACTGCAGTGGAAAACACTAGCTTACAGCAGGGCTGAACTTGGACAAAGAAGACAGGGAGAGCCATTTGTTAAATGGGGTCATTAATACTTAGCTGATACAGGGCTGCTGTAAGACTTTACTCATCATTGTAAAGTGTTCTGCTCTCAAGGGCTTTATTCCTTACATCTAAGATTGAATTTAACCACCACCTTCTACCCATTGCTTCTTTACAATTCCCCAGGTGAGCAAAGGTTTCTCTCTCTGTCAGGGAGGATAGCTCATTGCCACTGACTACCCTTTGCCTCACAGAGCCTGAGTGATAAACACTGCAATGAGGGCACCTGGAATCAGGGATGCTGTGGCAGATGCAACTGGGTGTCACAATGCTGCACAGAGAAATTTTATACTTTCCCTGGAAGAATCAGGATCCCAGCAACCATTTCTTACTGATCTGAGGGCTGGCACCTGAATGACACTTATCGGAGCTGGGAATAAACTAGTCCTCATGCTGTAGCATACCATAGTGTTTTATATCTGTGAGGTCCCCTCCTCAGAAAAGCATGACAATGCATTGACTTATAGGTCACAGCAGGTAAAGGGGACCACCCGTTTGCGTCTGTAAAGAGATGGTGAGGTTAAGTAGCGTTCTAAGCTCTGACCATAAAGCTGTCATCTCTGAAAATTAATTTAATATAAAATACACCTTTAAAAATATTGACAAACATATAAGGGTGTTAACACTGAAATATCTAACGCGTTTGGTATCTGTATTTTTCACACAGTAGTAGGTAGAGTTAGTCATAACAAAATGAACACAGCATATAAACAGTCTTGTTTTTTCCCCAAAGCGGAAATAATTCAGATACTTGCAGAAATATACTAGGGTGGGCAAAGAGATCATCATTTCAGCGCTGTTTCACATATTACTATTCTTTCTTGGCAAAAGTATCTTTGCAGCGTGTTTTCATCTTTCTTTGCAACTGGGGACACAGAAAATTATTCAGTTCTCAAATAAGTTTTACAAAAGCTGAAAACAAGAATTAGGAGGACAACAATGTGAATTATGTGGGGACAAATATTGCATATCCGGAATGCCAAGTCTATACTGTATCAGTAACAGACAGATTTCAGTAGAAATGCGTACATAGTATATATTTTATTCTATTTTTAACCATATATCTATTCTGAATTCTCTGTGTTCAGTGCTCTCAAGTGTTAAAAAAAGTTTTTAAACTTCCCTAATATTTTTAAATAAATCATAATTCATGATCATGGCTCACATCACTTATTCTCTGCAAGTGGTTTTAGCATTAAAAAGCTATTCAGCATTGAAAAATCCCCAAATGAGTAGATTTCAAGTTCCAGTATTGTAGTAGTTTCAAAATGTGTGTGTCCTTCAGATAAGCTTGAATTGATTGTATCAATTCACTACATGCGTTACAAGGTTTATTCATGTTTGACATGGGGGTTTCAATCCCAGGGAAGGCCGTACAGTAAACTGAGGTGTTGCTACCTCTAGTGCAATGCGTCTTCCTTTTTGCTACGCTTTCTTCAGGTTGTGGACTTGGCTGAGAATGACTGCAACATACATTTGTTTAATGGACTTTCCAATGTCAATTTTCAAGAGTTGGCTTCGGCGGCTCAAAATTTCCCCTTCGGAGAAACTTTAATTCTTGCAACTCTTGTGGTTGTAAACTCTGGTCCACTCCAGGAATTAGCTTGTAGCTTAAGGGAGATTCAATATAACCATTTCTGTAGAGACAGACCCGCTTGCAGAACTCAAAGGTGCTAAACATAACACCATAGTATGGGACAATCTGGGGGGGGCAAAAAAAAGATTGAAATCAGTTATTAATTTAGAGTCACTATCAATATTCTCTACTCAGTTATAAAGCTAGGATTTATAGGACTTCATTGTTGATTTGGCCTCATCAGGCCAATTGAGAATTTGACCCTAAATTAGTTGTGTCATTCTACAGGTACCAGACTGAGTTAAGACTTGGTTTATTATATGCACAACCCAATTATAGCAAATTATTGTGAGGAAATGGGCTTGTGCTGAACTTTAAAACACCACAATGTTTAAAACAGTTAAGATTTGTTTGAACAGTGAATTGGGGATGCATTTTGTATGTGGCAGAAACGCGTCCTTTCTTTTGTCCCAAGCAGAGTCAATGAAGCTATGCTGACTTACAATAGCTGAAATTCTGGCTCTTTATGTTTAGCCATTTTCCCTGCTCTCTCTCTCTCTCTCTCTCTGTTATTTCCCAAGTGTGTTTGAATAAACTTCCATCAAAAGGCTCTGCCACTTCCTCGAATGCTTTTGATGAGGATGGTGTCATATGAAAGTCAGCAACTTGCAGATGGCCATTAAGACCAAACCAATATAGCTCAAACAGCTACCGGTATATTGTAACCCAAGTACGGGCAAACCTCTACCGTTGCTGTCACAAGCTGTCTAATCAACATGCTGTTCATAAGGCGAGAGAAGAGGGACATCATGTGTGTTACAGTCCCAACCACCAATTAGTTGTTGGTCATGTGTCTCAGATCGTATTTAAATACAGACTGATCAGAATGGAGGAAATCCGCACCTTGAGCAGATTGGCTGTGAGTCCACACCAGAGTCCGAGCACGCTCTTGGTCTTTACAGTTTGCCTAAAACAGTCAACCATGCCAGTAAAATGGACATCAACCCCTCCATAATGGGGAAGGCAAGGACTCTGAGCCTGTTCAAACAAAAACCACAACAGGTTAATTATTTTTAATTGAGTTGATTTGTTTGTTTAATTCTTTCACTTCTATAGGTATTCAACACTTAAATGCTGAAGCAGGAGGCCTGTGTCTATTTACCATGCTTTAGTCAATTATATTTCAAAGAATTAACAATTCTGCCTGAGGTCTTATTGAAAGGTAACCAGTGGGGGGGGGGGGAATATTTGAAATGTAGAGTGTAGGAGAAGTCTACTATTAATTCTGTGCTGCATTGTACATGGTGTCACTTGAGTAACACATCCAAGCCACCTCCAAATACAGTAAGATTTAAACCATCAAAATACAAAGTCACATGAGAACATGATATTATGTCATAATCTACCAGACCAGTGTGCACTTAGTTCATATGGAACAAAAGTGCAATGGGTCATTCTGAGCAGCAAAATCCTTTCACCATTAATCTCTCACTGTGTTAGAACAGTTAGGATGGCCTGATCTTCAGTAATCTGATCCTCATCCATCTGTATGGACACAGATGGAAGTCTACTTTGCATGTGCAAATCAGGGATTTGTTCATACATATGACAAGACAGACTCTTTTCCAGACAAGTGATTCAGGCATGTGATTGCACATGCCCGTCTGATCACTGAAGATCGGTAATTTTATATTAGTGGCAGTGATCTTATATTAGGGGGAGTTTAACTGTTAATTTATTGGTGAATATTGATATAATTCTCTTACATTTCCCCAGTGATCTATAACAGCAAGTGGTGTAATACTCCTTCTTAGTTTGGCTGAAAAACCCACAGCTTCCTCAAGGTGATAAGCCTGTAACAACCTTTTCTATCAAACTGACAACTGGTGATGTTTTCTAGATGCATCTGCTCTAGAATGTCAATTGTTTGGCAGCCCTGGTCTAGCTGGTAAAAAATGGAAACATACTGAAGACTAAAATCATTCCTGGTGTAAGTGGGTGCGGTTAAATTGGTTTTAACAGAGTTGTGTCCCCTAATGCCATAGGTGAATTTGACCCTAACGTTTTAGAAGACACAAAAAATACTTAGCATATTTTTATCCTTAATATGCCCCCCTCTTCCCAGCAGATGGTGGTGGTGGTGGTGGGGATTAAACTCTGGTCTCCTAGAACTCACGTGTGATCTAACCATTAGGCTAAAAGTTATACGGTGGGCGGGGGCAGCAGCAGCTCCTCTCTGGACGTTTTGTGTGGAGCGAGGCAGGTGCCTAACTCATTCCCACAAGAAATGCCTTAGGTGCCTAAACCAGGTGACTCCAGGCAGCTAATTCCCATTTGTGGCTAGGTGCCTAAGTCTGGGGTGCAGGGAGGCACCTGGCTCCATGACAGGGATTAGCACCTCCCTCCCCTTGTTGTTGAGATCTTCCTTGGCTAGCTTCGGTTGCTCCCTGCCTAGTGCACTGGCTTTTGTGGGTCACATTCTAAGGCTCCAGTCTCTCCCCATTCATTGTACAGGAGCACAGGCACCTACTTCTCTTTGGGGAATCACAGTGGTGATCCTGTGATTTTCTGGGCACCTAAAAAGTTAGGTACTGTGACACTCAGCATTGCAATGCCTAAACCCCTTTGTGGCTCTGGGCCCAGATTCCTTAGGTCAAAGTGCAATCAGTGCATGGTAACTGGGTGGGATTTTTGAAAGCACCCAAGAGAGTTAGGAACACAAGTCATTCAGGCACTTTTGAAAATCCCACCCCAGTCACTAAAAACCCAGGATAGATTTGACACATGCTTCTGCTTTCCAAAGTGACAGGGATACTTTGAAACAGATTCCAAAAGCCCAGGAAACTGTGGACAAGTAGTGGAAAAGGGACAACTAGCTAAAATACTTGAGGAAGATGACAATGCTGCTAAACATATGCATCCTTTTCCTTTCTTTCCTTCCCAACATGCAGGGGAGGACTTACAAGAATTAAGTGCATCAGTTTAACTTAATCGCTTTAGCCATTATGTACACTGCAAAGGCACATATCAAAGGGTGGCACTTTTGTGTACAATACAAATGTAGGGTACGATGTACTTCAGATTTAAATAAGATTTGGTAAGCAGTAAAACTACTCTGGCGAATGTTAAAAAAGAATGGTATGTCTCAAAGAACCAGATTTCTAATTTTCCTACAGCCTCTAATCTCTAAAATGATTTATTGAGAGATTATTTATATTAACATTCACCATTGTAAAAACCATTATAAAGATTTTTAACTGTGGTGCAAGGTTCATACCCCCACCTTTCTGGCTTATCGGAGCCATAAAAACAGTTTTTCAAGCCCTTAGACACAGTACTTGAGAACCAAAAGAATCTCAAAGGAAGCATCAGACTAAAAACAATGGCACAACTTAAATCAAAGTCATTTCATCCAGTAGTTCAAGTTAAAAAATTAAGTTTTGAAAAAGGATTTTACAAAGCTAGAAAATATTATTAAAACACATTTTATTTAACACTATTTTAAATGAATCTGTGAACTCAGGGGTTGTAGCCTATGACTGGAGAATTGCAAATATAGTATCTGTTTTTAAGAAAGGAAAAGAAAGTGATCCGGGCAACTACTGGGCCGTTAGTTTGACCTCACTGTATGCAAGGTCTTAGAACAAATTTTGAAAGAGAAAGTAATTAAGGACAGAGGTAAAGAGTTCCTCAGTGACCCCTCTTAGGACCAATCTTATTTAACATTTTCATTAATGTCCTTGGCACAAAAAGTGGGGGTATGCTAATAAAATCTGCAGCTGACAAAAGGCTGGGAGGTATTGTCAATACGCAGGAGGACTGGAATATCATACAAGAAGATTTGAATGACGTTGAAAACTGGAGGAATAGAAATGGGATGAAATTTAATAGTGCAAAGTTCAAGGTCATGCATTTAGGGACTAACAACAAGAATTTTTGCTATAAGCTGGGGACATATCAGTTGGAAGTAACAGGAAGAGAAGACAGATTTGGGTGTATTGGCTGATCACAGGATGACTCTGAGCCATCAGTGTGATGTGGCCATGAAAAAGGCTAATGCAATCCTAGGATGCATCAGGCGAGGTATTTCCAGTAGAGATAGGGAAGTGTTACTACAATTATACAAGGCACTGGTGAGACCTCATCAGGAATATTGCGTGCAATTCTGGTCTCCCATGTTTAAGAAAAGATGAATTCAAACTGGAACAGGTGCAGAGAAGGGCTAGGAGGATAATCACAGGAATGGAGAACCTACCTTACAAGAGGAGACTTAAGGAGTTTGACTTGTTTAGCCTAATAAAATGAAGGATGAGGGGAGATATGATCACTCCTCTCCCTCCCTACATCAGAGGGATAAACAATGGGGAGGGAGAGGAGTTATTTAAGTTAAGGGCCAATAGTGGCACAAGAACAAATGGATATAAACTGGCCAACAGTAAGGTTAGGCTTGAAATTAGACAAAGGTTTCTAACCATCAGAGGAGAGTTGTTCTGGAACAGCCTTCCAAAGGGAGCAGTGGGGGCAAACAAACCTAACCTGGTTCAAGCCTGAGCATGACAAGTTTATGGAGGTGATGATATGGTGAGATTGGCAACAATGGCATATAGCCCATCAGCAACTGCTATTAGCAGATATCTCCAATGGCTGGAGACGTGACACTAGATGGGGAGGGCTCTCAGTTACTACAGAGAATTCTTTCCCAGATGTCTGGCTGGTGGGTCTCTCCCACATGCTTAGGGTCTAATTGTTCGGCATATTTGAGGTCGAGAAGGAATTTTCTCCCAGATCAGATTGGCAGAGACCCTGGGTTTTTTTTTTTTTTTTGCCTTCCTCTGCAGCATGGGGCACGGGTCACTTGCTGGTTTGAACTAGTGTAAATGGTGGATTCTCTGTAACTTGAAGTCTTTAAATCAGGGTTTGAGGACTTCAGTAACTCAGCCAGAGGTTATGGGTCTATTACAGGAGTGGGTGGGTGAGGTTCTGTGGACTGCGATGTGAAGGAGGTCAGACTAGATGACCATGATAGTCTCTCTGGCCTTAAAGTCTATGAACCTAAATGAAATCGTTGGTTTGGTTATCAGGTGATGCTGGAGGATTTACACATCCCTACAACTGCACTAGAGCAGGAGAGCTAAAAATGAAACTAACTGAACAGCTCAGACTAGTTTCACTGGCCAAGCTCTGCAGAAACCTAACCTGGTTTATGTAACGGGGAGAAGTGGTTAATTGCTTATTCAAAAGAACACACCGACAGAGTATACTTTTTATGGGTAGCATAACACATCACAAAGCAACTTTTACTCCTTTCTTTTGATAGAGCTTGGGTCTTTAGGTTGCTAAACTGATACCCATTTGGAACAGACCAAAGGGGCAAGACTCTCCTACTAGCTGAATCGACAGCCAATTGCAACCGGACATCGGCATCACCAATGAGGACCAGAAGATCATCATGGTGGATGTCACAGTGCCCTTCAAGAACAGGACCCCGGCTTTCCTGTCCCCTGGTAACCCTTAGCTCTCAAAGTGTCGGTGGAGAAATACGCCCCTCTGGCTGATACCTTGAGAGCTAAGGGTTACCAGGTACAGATAGATGCGCTGATCATCAGAGCCCTGGGCGCATGGGACCCCAGTAACGAGCGAATGTTGTGGGAATGTGGAATCGGTCAATGCTACACTCGGCTGATGCGGCAACTCATGGTGTCGGACGCCAGCGGGACATCTACACAGAACACGTCACCAGACATCAGCAATACCAGGAGGGATGAACTGGTGAGCCGATGAGAAGCGCAGTGGGGAAAGTAACTGAAACACTTTCTGTGACATGTCATTCCATATTCTTTATGAAAATATGCTTATGATATGAATATGACATAACTGAGATATACTTTATACATGTGATATATCATTGAAAAGGTTAGGATTTACTGAATGAGATTATCCAGTTTGTATGCCTGTATCATTTCTGTATCTGAAATTAGGAATATGGACTATGTATCTGTTTCAGAGTAGCAGCCGTGTTAGTCTGTATCCGCAAAAAG